CATGTCAAAATCGTTATTTATGCACCAAGATCGTTGGGAAAAAAACCAAGAGCATTATCTCAAAGCCCAAGACATGAATTTGATGCATTTTTGTTAACTATAAAATGTATTTTGTAAGATTAAAATAAATTGTCGTTAAAAGTGATTGTAATACTGAGGATCCTTCGATATTTCGTTGTATCGGTTTATTCTCTTTAGTAACGTTATGGATTTTTTTCATCGGTTCATTGTCCTTGTTTCCATTTAGTATACGTAATGCAAAAGCAGTCAATCTCTCACGATGGTCCCTTTTATCAAGTGGAACCATGTCGGAAACAAATAAATAAAAATTGATAATTTTATTTTCCTTTTGAGGCGAACAAAAAGCGGCTATCCGTATTCAATATAACAAACCAACTAAAGAAAATGAACCGTTACATTTTTATGACGCAACGTGGGGATCGTTGCTTACGTAGACAATTTTTCCTTGTTTTATGACGAATCAACCGTTACATTTTAGACGGCCATCTCTGGGGCACGAATTAAAAATTAAACTACTAACTATCTGTTTAAGTAAAATCGCCTTTATCTGTCAAGGTCGCTGAGATCAACAGTAAAGAAAAGAAGCAAATTTTATTACTTTTGAGCTCATACTTATTTGTAGAAAGGATTCGTACTGGTCCCCTTATAGGACCCAATATCCTCCCGACATACTCATCTGTTGTATACAGTTTGGAAAATAAATGTAAGGGAAGTTGTGGCTTTGGCTTTACACAGGAAAGGTTGAGAACCACTGCCATACACAATACACATTTATCCTTTATCATTAATTAAAAGAGAAATTCTACCACGTGAACGAGGATATCAGTGAGTCTTTTTTTTATTAATAATTCTGTCAGAAGCTGTCCATTGCGGGTAAATGACATTCCTCCTTTGAGATTAATAAAATGTCATCAGAGTCACTGGAGAATTTCAACCAAGTGTACGAGAATATCTGTGTCTATTTATTATTGATTCTTTGGAAAAATCTCAATTGATTGTATATACCACCAGTTTTCGTACATTGAATCTATCAGCTTTAATGAACGCACGGTACGTGGATGGGATTGAGCGGACGCTTCATTACTAAAAACCGTAACTTCTAGACCTAATTATTTATATTCCGGGAGGTGACAATGAAGTGTAGAAATAATTGTTTTAATGTGCGCCGCCGATAAGGAAATCTGAATGCTGTATCTAATTATTCAGTTTTCTAATTGATCTCGTTGAGATATTTTCATAATTCTTGCAGCCTCCGAAAGCTCCCTTCATTTGGAAGACGAGAGAATGAATATTTTGTGATTTTCGTTCCGTTGTTAGTTGTTAGAATATTTTATTTTCCCAATGCTAATTTAAAACCAGGACGAGCAATGTCGCGTAATACGATAGGTTGACCTGAAAATGGATGCTGACTAGACTACCGAAATTTTGGATTTCAACGCGGTCCATTAAGTAAGCATAATTGCCGGTAGCTAATGACATGTGTTTGGTGTCAAATAAAGTGCGCTTAACTGACAAGAATTTTAAGCCGTTTTCCAGATTTTTTTGGATGGCAAGGATCCAAGCAATTAATGAACAACGTTTAAATTTTAATCTGTATCACCCGAATTCGCCCTGCTGTTTGAAAAACTAGTGTTCCCTTCTCGAAATTGCCGAATTTTATAAAAGGGAAGAACATGATATTTTCGCTTTTGCTTCGTGGTGACGTGTGCATTTAGGCTTTATCGAGTTTTTTTTTATTTATCTAATCGTACCGGTAAATGGGTCTACTTCCTTGGTTTCGCTTTCCAATGGCTATAGTGGATTGATTCAATTTTTGCTTTCGTTCCCGTTTTTAGAAGCTGTTTTGCCGTGTGCCGTAATTTGGATTGTTCACCAGTGATCGACCCCTGTTTACCCGTAAGATGCCCGTTTTCTGCAGTTGATTTACCTGTGGCTTTAGAATTTCCGCAAACGCAACCAACTGCCGTTGACCAGGAGCAGGGTATGAGAATCTGCTGGTGGCGCTCGACTCTCGAGGTACTGGCATCGACTCCGTCGACAAACCAAAAATAATATAGTACGATTAATTTAGCACAATTGTAATTTATTTTGAATTAATGTTTATTTTCATTCCATTCGCCTGTTTAATTTATGGCACTACCGAAAGTTCGTCGGAATTTTTTTTTACTGAACTACAATTGCGTATACACGATAATACACAATGGAATCAGGTTCCTTTTTAGTAAGAACGCTATTAAATTTCACGTCCTCGTTAGCGAGGTGTCCATTATCAATATTAAATTACTGAGCACCAAAGTTTCTTTATTTTAAAGGTTTAGCGTACAATTGAAAATCGATCGTTATCGTAGTTACATCGCACAACTTTTTTTTTTATATGTACTTGTTGACGACCGAAAGACAGTCAGTAACTATTCTCATAAGGTGCAAACTTAAACCGCGTGTTTCGAAATTCAACATAATGGGAACGGTAAGAAATCCAATTTGTAACGAAAATCTGATATACGATTTCGCAACATGTAATGTATGGGAAAGTGTAAGCACCTATCTTACCCACACAGGTGTAGACGCATTTTATAAAAGCTTCACATCTCATTTCCATCTAAAAGGACGTGTTACGGCAGATTGAAATTATAAGAAAACTTCAAAGGAGGAGAAAACATAAAAGTGTTTCGTATAAACCTTAACATTTTCGAATTTATTGCTTTTCCTAACAATTTTAAGGGTATAGAAATGTGTATGTGTATATTTGCATGGAATTTATCCAAAGTGTACGTGCCCACTCTTAAATTATAATAATAAATTGCGTTGCGTTCGTCATCCTTAATCAATAACAAATGGATTGCTCGACATTTCCATTTGTAATAATCATTTTACGAAGGAAACGTTGAAGTGTTATTAATAATCGATTCCGCATGCATACTTAATGGGCAAATGAACGTGGTCGGTTCCTTAATAACTATTCCAGGGCGGAATTTAATCATTAGAGACGGAACATTTTTGATGATAAAATGTGTCAGCTTTTATTTGTGAAAAGTTCACTCATGTTACTTTTCCTACACGACAACTCTCTACGAATGGAAAATGTTAATTAAATTACGCTGTGAAAAATGGTAGTTACTTTAACATAATGGATGAAGGCGAAATTTTTGCGGCTGAAACGTGGGAAAATACGGCACTTACATTATTATATTTTTTTGGATTCATTCTTGTTTCTGTATTACACCTTTTATAAATAAACTTCTTTTAAAAGCTTACAATTCGTCTGTAGTACAGTCTACTCGAAAGCGTATGATGTTGCTATTTCCAACATTCTTCTTGTTTTGAAGGAAATAGAATAACTTACAGTTAAACAAAGTGACATTTTTCCAGCAAGTGAAAATAGCACCGACTCCAACGAAGTGGAAAATTAGTTCCCTCCAATCACCTCTACTACTGTTTTACGATTTACCAAAAACTAACTAAAAAAATTTAAAATTGAAGCGTGGCAAAGACAACAAAGAGCACAAATATCAGTGTCCTACATTAAGACAATGTGACTTACTGCTCCGCTAACAAAATTAGTGTACAATTTTGCTCATATTTGGACGTCACTTAAATTAATTATGCACTGAATTTTTGGGATTTACGTCTCTTTGGGGTTTGATGAACACTGAATTTGTCGTGGGTAATTTAGGTAGTGTTGGAGTTTAATTTTAGATTTAAGGTATTTGTAATTATTTTTTAATTTTGTCATGGGCGTTTACGAACCCAGTAAATTTAGAGTCTGTTGTAATTTGGGCAAGCCGACAAAATGGTTTGCGCAAATAAATGCAATTAAATTTTGTTTGTAAAATGTAATTGTTGTAACCGTTTGAAGTCATTTTTAGTAACGAATACTAGGGTGACAGTCTCATTTATTTTTTTAACGTTATTGTATTTTTGTGTGGGCCAGACTGAACAACCAGGTGGTTCATACGGCAATCTGTATCATAAAATCTGAAACCGGTCAATTTAACTTATTGCAAGTGTTCACTTAAGTAGCAACAAGTAAGAAATTTGGCAGCACGGAATGGTACTCACTGTAAGCTATTAGCTAAACTTTATTCAAGATAACTATTTCAATAACGTATATTTACCTTCAATATACCTAAGTATTGTGATTATTTTCCCTCGCTTACGCATAATGTATCGCCGGATTAGGTGAATAATAAAAATCTGGTTGACACATCATTTCACCGCACGGGTAGTCGGATAGCTTGAGTGTAACCAAGGAAACTGTAGGCAAAATGACTAGTACAATCATTTCGCGAGTATTTTTAGCTTCATATAAAGCTTGAAGCACATTTGTCCGGACGGAATCGGCCCGTACCGGCCGACAAAAATTCCGCAGTTGGGTATTATGGTAAGCACGATCTGCCGTTCGCTCCGGACTGGTTCCGTCCGGATAAGTGTGCGCAGTTACGTATAAAACCATTATGAACATTCCATTGGAATGTTTGCCGATCGGTCCCGGCTGATTTCGTCCGGACAAGTCTGCTTCAAACTTTAAGCCCTTGGCAGGCCGTTTTAGTCACATAGTCGGTCACTGCTTTATTTGTTTGAGCTTCTTTGGCATACCGAAATTGCAACTAACGCTATCTCTCGGATTCTTTCACGCCAGTGCGCGCAGGTCTAAAGACGCATCCATCTCGCGGCACTTTGAATGCCAGTGGGCTCGATATGGTTGGCACGAATGACGTTGTGTAATCGGTTCTTGTACGTGTTGGGACGTGCGACATAATCGGGAAGGGAATTAAATAAAATACAGAACTTTTGTGCGTAAGAAATTACAAGAACAAATAAATATATTACGCACACAACAAGATCATACCAGGAAAACCTTCTTTGGGACAAAAACCTCGGCATAACGCACACAAATACATGAAATAAATCAACTAAGGCAGCAAAATGCAAGAGAAAATACGCAAATAAAACATGTACGATAAAAATCAGGTAGGTAATCGAATCCAATGCAGTTAAACAAATTCATAAAAACAAACACAAGAGACATAATAAATGAAAGTGGAAAGCGTGACAAATCAAATTAGCTACAAAACACATCTACGGTTCAATTTGGGCAAAACAACGAGTAAAATTTAAGTAGGTTTACCATAAGTCATAGGAGATAAAGAAGAATAAAATAAAGGTAAGTACTATATTATACTGTTGTGTAATTTACGTTTAGTTCTTTCGGTCTAAACACCAAAAATAATCACGGGACACTCTGTATGTGGGAATATTTCATTTTATTAAGTGTAAATCTGGGGAATTATTTACGAGTAAGCACAGAGTTGATTGATTTTATTTGAATTTATCTCAGTGTTATTTTTCCTTTTACAATTGTTTGTAATCTCGTATGATTTTTTTGTTTAAAGTCTATCGCTTTTGTAAATTGTTTGTTTAGGTTTGTGTATTTAATTGTATAACGTGAAATAGCGTATTAAATTGCAGGTGGTTTGGGATAAGAGGTTTTGTGACGAGATTTAATTATCGCACGTGTTTTTATCGCTGCTAGAAGAAATAACGGAGAGGCAGATGTTACTATGTGTGCCTTAGTTTGGCGTAAGTGGGGACGGGTTTCTGTGAAGCTGACATATCCAGTCTAATTATGACTGGCGGTGTTATTTAGAAGTCCTGAGGAAGGAGGTTATTCTATTGTGGAAGTGGGGTTTCGTTAAATACTGGGAATCACCGAAAAAACGAGGCTACCTGGTTCGCGACGGTTGGAAAGCATGTACGTCTTTTACGTTATTCGGGTAGTCCGCCCGATTTGATTAGTTGAAAACGTAGTTTGTCTTTATCGCAATAAATTTTGTGCAGGAGCAACTTAACAAAAGTTGCGTGAGAAGTTTAAAGTGGTATGTACGTTTTATGGAAAATGTCTGTCAAGTTGAAAAAGCAAGCTGTTGGTGCATCAGGTTTTCTTGTTCTTAAAAGTTAAAGGTTTGTACCGTTTGAATAGTCACCGGTCATTTTACCCATCCAGTTAATGTTGTCTGTCATCAACATTTGTGTGTTAAAGAAAAATCAAGTTTAGAAGCTATGAGCGTCTGTGTGTGGAGTTAAAGACGCCTTAGTTATCGCAAATCTTCATTATAAAGATTATTAAAAGAGAAAAAAAACTAAGTAATATTAAGATTTGCTTGTTTCATTTGTCGAATACCTGCTGGCGGGGTAATTTGTCCAAAGAAGCTTACGGATTTCTTTTTTTCAAGAATTTTGTTTAATTTTCTTTTCATGTGTTTGACAATAAAATTTTGTCATTGTGTGTTTTTCGAACCCATTGTGCGACCCGAATAGGGTCTTAATGCCAGCTTTACCTTCTCGTATCCAAGATTTGAGTTGATCGAGGCCACAGAGTCTTATAAAACGTTAATTGAAGACAATATTGGAATTTTTCTTTGTCGCAGATGCCGGAAGTGTACGAGGGGAAATTATAAAAATTCAATTTCAATTTAGATTTGTTAGAGTTAGCTGGCCCAGCGTTTTGTGGATGACCGTAAGTACAACGATTGTTTTGACTGACTGTAAAATAAGTAATTACTAAACAATAGAGTTTGATGGAAGCAACGCGACGTGACCGATATCAAGAGAAGTGAATTTCCTAGTTATTTATGAAAGTAAAACGAATTTCTACGATCCAGAAATACACATATCTTTCTTTACTTGTGTAATGTATCGGTTGTCGAATCGCGTTCCAATCCGTTTCTATGTACTGCCATAGAGTCGTTGATCGCGCAGACTGCTATAATTGCCATTCATATTATTAATTGATTTATCTCTAGGGGATGTGTTGGTTTACAAAATGGCAATTGTAAATAATTTCGGTTCTGTTCTATTAAATTTCCAAATAGAAAAATAAAAACGTAGCGAACTGGTATCGTTTTTAGAGTAGGTAAACCGTGCTCTAACCAAAATTGAAATATTTAAGTCTTTTAGGTATACATGCGGATTAAAAATTACTCAAGCAAAAAATTGAAATTCTTGTTGCGAACATAACGTAGGATTCATCCTTGTTGGAAGATTAACTTTTTTGCCTTACAATATGAATATAGCGGAGTAGGTATGTATAATATTAATATCACGATTGTTAACGAGATCAAGATAAGGAACATGGCCGATCCCTTCAAAAGTGTACATAAACCTAGGTATATATACATAAACCCTAGTCGCGGAATGAAGAATTACATAAATCTTGAATAAGAGTAATATATCACACTATTACCACCTCACTTCCTTTTATAAACGTCCACTTCCGGTTTCAATCATAGGAACGATTCATGAGCAGCATTTATTTCCGGCACTTTTATTTCCTCGCCCTCCGCTTCAATATACTCGACGCCTTCCTCGTAATCTAAATGGCAACGGGTTGAAATATGATGATCCGGATCACCATATTGACTGTGATAGAATTCCTCCCTCATCATATGGTTTAATCTACCACAACGGAAATAAAGAATTTCCTGAAAAGGTTTTCTAAAGTCTCTGTTTAAAGTAGCGTAGATTATTGGATTTAGTAAACTGTTTGCGTATCCTAACCACAGAAATAAACTCGATAACGTTGTTAATGTGCTAGAGGTGGGATCTAGAAACGGCCTTATAAGGGCGAGTACGAAGAAAGGTAGCCAACATATCGTAAAAGCGCTCATTATTATACCTAACGTCGTACTTGCCTTTCTCTCTTTCGCTAATTGGAAGCGCAGTTTCTTTTGGTTCGTATTTATATTCGGCGAGGCTTTTATTGACGTTAACAAGTTTGATTTGGGCTGTTTTAGCTGGGACGCCGGCGTCTTGATTGACATCTTGCCGGACAGCATCGGACACTGCGACTCGTTGCTTTGACGCGACGAAAAGCACCTTCCGAGACTGGTCTTATCCAAGCCGAACTGGAACAAAAATGAGATAAATAGATTTATCGCATAAAAACACCGACATCATTTTTCGGACTAAAGTAGGGAATCTGCCTAATGTAGGGAAGATGATCGGATTACCTTTTTCACTTATCTAAAGCTTCCAGTCAATAAATAAATTTACACAGGAAGAGAATTGGGACACCGTTTAATTCCTATCAAAAGATTCGGTTGGGAAACAAAATCTGCCCGGGGAATTGTTGTTTATCCGCTTAAAAACAGTCTCCTTTTGTACAACAATTATAAAACATCGATGTAATTCATTAATTAAAACTAATTTAGAATTGAATTTCGTTTTTTAGTTGAGATTTAGTAGGTACACCGACAGTTTCCATTAGAGGGTTGGTTACCCCAAAATGTTTCCAATGTTTAAACTCAACGGATTTTGAATGAATTTAGCGATGTATATTTTGTGTGTGTGTGAGCCAATGGCTATCGGAGGAGTCGTGAACAGTTAACTGCCTGGGAAAAGTTACTATCACCAGTCTGACGGGCGATAACACAATCTTAATGTCGTTTACGTGACAAAATCAGCTAAACTAGAATTGATCATAATGATGTCACGGAGCGCAAACCAGGCGATCTTGAAAGGGTTTTAGCCAGATAACGTTTGTACGCAGTTGATTGGAAACGAAGTCGAATGGTTAACGATTAAAGATGACCGCTTTAACCTATAGCGCCATTATGTAGGCGGTAAAACCAGCGTGCTGTAATTTTACTATTTAGAACTATCAAAAAAATTATAAAGGTATGAGCGCACTTTTTCGGCGAACAAATCGGAAGTGACAGTTTCAATTATTGTAACTTTCACTTCGAATGTGAAAGTTTCAAAAGTTTCGGTTTAGCCTTAGAATGTGCTATTAATAAATTATATTGCGGTACGGGAAGTTGGTTGAAAGCAGACGATAACAGTCAATGCATCATCAATTGCACAAGAAGAGGTAATTGTAGGAGAATACATGAAATCTACAAGTTTTTCTTCTGAAGATCCAGGTTTCTATGTTAGTAGGCCGGTAAGAGCGCACTTTGACCTTGAAGATCTACGCATGGGCATTGATTATATACTTACGAAAAGATAGGCCACCTCCTTGTTAAAAAGCGTTATAAATATGTATGTACTTACAGTTACGGAGCCATCTATGTAATAGTACATCTTATTAAAATAAACGTTTCAAGTGCAGAATTCTATTAATTTTAGCCAAGATCTTCGTCTCAGATCCATAGGAAAGTAATATTGATATTAATGAAGAGAAACTACCATTCATAACACTCGTATTTAAAAATGGTATCGTGTTCCCTTCTTATCACAAGTAATTTTATAATGACAATGTTTCCCTTTATGTTCAAATTTTCTTCAAAACGATACACACTACAGTCTTCGTATTAGCATTGAATAATAATTTTATGGTATTGTATTAGGTACATACTACCAATAAATTCAATGATACTACCATTGTATTTACAATGATACTACATAGGTACAGGTACCTATCCAATTTTGTCTTTAAGGCAGCGCGATTGATTTATGGAGATGCTTTAGTTTTACCTCCTTATGATTGTTTAGGAATTTGCTTACGCGGCGCCGGGATCTCATTGATGTGCGAATAGGGTAGATGACAAATTTTTTAAAATCCGTTATAACTGTTCGTTTACCTCTACTATAACTTTAAAAAATGATATTTCAGAAAAATAAATCATATTATTGCAGATTTATGCAATTTAAATTGTAAATTTTTATTCTAGCGCCAAAACACTGTTTTGTGTCATGGCGGTGTCTGTGACGTCACAGTCCTGACAATTATAAACACATAACCCCAGCGTAAATAGTTTAAAAGATTTCGTGATGAATTATAACTGCTATAAGTGGTGCCCTACCATGGGGTACACCTTGTGGTGGCGGTAGGGCTCAGTGGTCACATTTTTGTGTAGCACAGATAAGTATCCCAGGCGGGTAAATCTGGTTCCAAAGATCCTGTATCATTCAAAAGCTTCATGGAGTAGAGAAATCCAAAAGGATTCTCGACGATTGCTGATTAAACGTAATATAGAAAACTGTATTGACATGAGTAGCACATTTTTCACGTACGTTAACTCCTGAGGCGTGCGGTAGACGACAATTTGGACAACTTCCGAAACCGATTCGGCCATTTGCCCATAGAGTTTCGAATAATCGGACTAGATCATGACTTGTTAAACATGATAAAGAAGACTTTATCGACACTAGTACTCCTTTGGACTTAGAGGGGTTGTAAAAGTCCCGTGATGGTAGGGCAAAGAAAATAATTGTTTTCTTCGTTGTCAACTAAGGAAACTGCACACAATTTTGCGTGAACCGTATATTGCGGGCAAATTTTGACTTAACTGTGAATAAGTTGCCATCACGCTTAAGAGTCTTCTGTTCGACTGCACCCAATGTAAAGTTCCATAAGAGCGCCCGCCATAAAAACTGTTTTTCCAAAAAAAATTCTTTTAAGAACTACTTTATAAATTTAGACCTTTATCTACAAAATGTTCGTAATGTAAAAAAGTTGCGCTTACGTACAGTTGGACATAGCTTACTGAATCATCTCCATATGATAGCTTCGATGACCTAAAAACATAGCATCTTAAGTACACATTCCTCTTAAATAACTACATTTCTTGTAAAAACCTATCTTAACTTAAAAACCTACAAGATGCAAGATGCACTTTGATGCAAGAAATATTCCCATCATTACATGAATTTTTGGCAGATTTGCTGCTATCAGCGTTCGTACACCTACTTTCCATTCATTTCTGGTTTTAAAAACTGAACTTGAGGATAATACAATCACTATAAAATGGAACAAGCACTAAATTAAAAACGTGGACAAACTATAGAAACGCACAGAGGATTAGGATAATGACGTCACGCGCTCTGATTGGCGTTTGATATCACGTGACAAATGTCGTTATTTTTTTATTTTAGTTTTACTAAAATATAATAGTTACTCGTGTACATTACCAAAGAAAGTTATTTTACGATACCCTGGCACCTTACTCTATCTTATGAAACAAAAATCTATTTATTCTTTTTCCACTGTCATGTACCCTATTGTGTAAAACAAATAACCAAAAAAGTGACGAAGTGCGCGCAACAAACGAAATTTTAATTTTTTTACGGGATTATGGCGAGAGTGACAGTATAGATTTTTTATATCGGCCAACAGATGTCATTGTACAAATTGTTTTGTTTTGTTTAAATATTATGGACAATTTTTTTTTAAATAACAAACATATACCTTTTATTTAAAAAACACTTGTTTTAGAAATTAACGAAAACTTAAAAAATAAATTTCCTATATGGTTAGATAAAAATAATAAATGTGTAGAACATAACCTGTATATAATAGATTTACTTGTAAATTGTAAACTTTATAAAATGCCAGCGACAATGTTAAAATCTTTCAAGACCGTTAAAGCTCAATCGTCATCTACTAGAAAACTAAATATAAGGCAACATAAGTAGTTATATGTAGGTATAATTGTACTTAGGTATTTTTACGAAGGTACGGATTTTCACATTTAATGTATTTTGTTCCAATTTTTAGTTTATAGTTATAGGGAATATGAAGTATGAACATAGATAGTATTAAGCTCGGTGTTAAGTATAAGATAAATAGGTGGGCATGTTAGCAGTTTTGAATTATTTTTTGCGGTGAGAGATTGAGGCGAATATCGAACAATTTACACTTTACATGCATTAAACTAAAAAAATATATTGGTATAAAGAAAACTCGACTAAGTACAACTTTTTTTAAGCTTCATTTAGTATGCTTCCTAACATTAAATTGGCATTCTTCTTTGAAAGGTTATTTGCGTAATGGTTACGTAAAATCCGTGTATTTTGTATAGCAATATCATAGGTATATAACTCACAAATACAAATTGCCATAATTCTTAATTTTGGTCATCGGCATCCCTAAAATTTAATTCATTTTAAATTTAGTAATATTTATATATGCAACTAGTGAGCAAGAATAGATTTTCAGTAAAAAAAACAGTAAATACTACCGTCTAATGACTACTACGTTTTTTTTCGTTAAAATGATATTCGAATTTTTGGAGTGGGTATTCCGAAAAGGTTATACTATTATTGTATTATTATGGTTATTATTATTATTATTATTGTACTATTAGTTCATGTTCAGGTAAATTTAATTTTTTCAAAGTCGCCATTTCTATCAGTTAATATGCGAAACAGTCGTTCATTCATGAATGAAACTCGAAAGCATAAAAATTACTCTGTCATTATCAGCCCTACATATTAAATTTCAAAACATTCTTGCCGTGAAAATTACAGTTATAATCAAAACTAACTTCTACAATCAAGACGCAAACAATTTCATTATGAAAAGCGCTATCTGTTGTAATTTCTTCTCAATTTTGTGTGGAAGTAGCACTTCGAATTAAATAATTATCATTTTATGTGTAACGTTTCTTGCTGTACTGTGGCCTATCTTGTTCGTAGTATATAATCAATGGTGCAAGTTACAGAACAGTTTATTTATGGTCCACTTTAAACCACTGGAACAGAGAGTAGTTTTATATCAGCTGTTAAAAATAATCTTTGGCATTTGAGGTTAGGGCACATAAACAGCAGAGGGCTACAATTATTAAAATTGCCATATAGTGAAGAAGTGTGCGAGTCCTGCATCAAGGGAAAAGCTACCCGACTACCCTTCCAAAGTGTTACATCACCGAAATCAAAAAGAATTGGCGAACTGTTGTACAGTGACGTTTGGGGACCCGTAAATACACCCACCGAGACACCCACATTAAACGGTGAGCGTTATTACTTATCAATAATAGACGACTTCTCACATTTTTCAGTCGTGTACTTATTAATGAATAAATCGGAAGCTGCTGACAAGTTAATAAATCATGTGAAGTATTTGCAAAATAACGACATTCATGTTTCAAAGCTTAGAACCGATAATGGTGGAGAATTAACGTCAAAGAAATTGGAAAGTTTTTTGGAAGACTGTGGAATAATTCACGAATTTGCGGCAAGTTATACGCCACAACAATGCGGTGTTGCAGAGAGGTTTAATCGGACGATTCTAGATAAAGTAAGATCGATGTTTATAGATACCAATTTACCAAAGTATCTTTGGGGAGAAGCTGTCCGAAGTGCCGTTTACATGCTAAATAGATGTCCTACACGAGCTTTAGGTGGTCAAGTACCTACGCAAATATATTACGGAAAAACAGACTTAAGTAAATTGAAAGTGTTCGGATGCAAAGCATTTGCATGCAAAATACAGAGGGATGGTAAACTGGAGCCACGAGCAAAAGAAATGCGTTTAGTCGTTTTGTTTATTGAGTGAATCAGATCCAACAAGTTACAATGATGCTGTCGAAGATATCACGTGGGAAAAAGCAATTGAGACCGAGCTGAGATCACATAAAGAAATGGATACGTGGAGTGAAGCAGAACTACCAAACAATGTAAGGCCGATAGAAACGAAGTGGATTTTTAAAACGAAGGATAATGGACTGAGAAAGGCGAGACTAGTGGCGAAAGGTTATCAAGAAAATGTTCCATCCGAGGTTCCATCGTTATAGGCGCCCGTTGCAAGGTTATCTAGTTTGAGAATGATATTGTCGATCGCACTTCAAAATTGTTGGGAAATCAAGCAACTGGACGTGCCAACTGCATTTCTACATGGAAGTTTATAAGTGATGTGTACATTTAAAAGTCCGGAAGGTTACCATAAAAATTGTGTATTAAAATTAAACAAGCCGTTATATGGTCTTAAAGAGTCTCCTAAGTGCTGGAATGAACGAGTGAACCATTTTTTGATAAATTTAGGTTTTAAACGTTCGACAAGTTATTTGTGCATTTATTTCAAACCACATTTAATTCTCTTAATTTATGTTGACGATATTATAATTACAGGTACTTGTACTTCCAACGACATACTGCAAATCGAATCCTTTTTGGTACAAGAATTTGATATCAAATGTCTTGGTCAGGTAAATGAATTTTTAGGGATGCAAATTGAAAGGAGTGGAAACAAGATTGAATTATCACAAACACGTTTAATCGATAAAGTAATTTCAAAATTTAACATGTCCCACATAACACAAAAATATCCTAAAAACGTTTTAAAAATATGATTGTACAAATGGTTAAATATTTTTAAAACGTTTAAGATTATTACTCAAATGTTTTCATAATATCAATCTAACATTTAGATGTCCCACTTTTAATGTTTTACAAATGTTATGGAGAAATATTTTATAAATATTATGCACCAATATTGTATAAATATATAGATTAATCTTTGTGAAATATTTATGCAACATTTATTCAAAACCACACATTAATAGAAAACCAATAATAGTATAAATCTAAAAATTAATAAATGTTATATAATAAAATAATAACACTCTTCAAGCACTACTTCCTCTTTCTAAATTTGGCTTGGGCTAGCCATTGTCTTAACTCTGGTAAAATATCGCTTTCAGTAGCATTTTCCGTTTTTAAATTGCTGCGTATTGATGCTGGAAAAAATAGCACATATTTAGCGGATCAATTTGTAATATTATCGAACCTTACCTAATAATAATTCATACAGTTTCAGCGATTTAAATTTAAGTTTACCCTTTGCACCATCGAAACTGTAATTTGCAGCGAAGTCATTAGTTAGCATCAAATACAAAATATTCCTTGTAATTTCCTTGGCTGTATCACCTCCCACCAAGGAGAACTTTCTTGCCTATAACATAACAATAAAATCAAAGATGCATTTACACATTTGAAATGTACTACCACATCTTTAAATAAAGTATTATCAAGTAAAGTTTGCTCTACTATATTTAAATTTTCTGTGTTGGCCAATGGAAACAATTTCCATATCTCCAGAATTACTTGTTCATCTGTGGTGGTCTCTTTTGTTTTGTCAGTTGTAGTTGACAGGGTGACTATCAGCGATTCCAAATCAGCTAATTTGTTTTGAATAATAAATTGCTGGCGAAACATCCTTCGTTGAAATTCTAAATTGTGGAAATTTAGTTCCAGCCACATTTTACTGCACCTACCTTCATTTTTCAGAGTGATTTCTTCTAATTTCGTCACGATCAATGAAATATTATCCACGATTTCTAAAACCATAAATGTACAAACAAAACTAATTCATAATCGAATAATACTTGTATTGTACGAAATGTCCTCTACCATATTATTTAATATAATATTGTTCTCATTGTCATCGCACATTGCTATTACTTTAGCTACTCCTGCAATGAAATGTGTTACGATAATTAAAAAAATAAGATTTTTCCTCACCTGTTGTTTGTTTGTTGCCACCGAGGTTGCCACTTTTATAGTCTAAAAGATAACAATTAAATACCTCAATGCTGAAATAACTGACTTATTTACCAATTCTTGGAAACCTGGTCAATGTAGCATCCCCATCATCCTTGCTCGAACTAGCATCATGCTCGGTGAGGTTTTGTTTTAAATCGGCTAAAAATTAATGTTCAGGATACAATAAATAAAATTAACTTTTCCTCACCCGTGGTTTGACTTCCACTCTTTTTATGGTCTAAAAGGAAATAATTAAATACCCTAATACTTTAATCATCTATTTACGCACCTATTTTTCGAAAACTTGTTGAGATTCCAAGTTCCTCATCATCTGTGTTCAAACTTGTATATTCGGATAATTTGATGTTGGGTTTGCGCACCCTTTGCCCTTTTCCGGCATTTATTTGTTGAGAGTTGGATTCATCATTATTGGATATAACATTTCCACATCGCGCCTCTTCGCATTGAACCTGTGCATAGTGGAAATCAGCTAAAAGGAAAAGTTTAATTATGTACTATCGGGCACTAAGCTACTACCGTATTCAGCTAAAACGTTGATTTTATATATCGGCCATTCTTTAGCAGGTATTGTACGATTTTTAATTATTTCGTATAGTTTAAAACCCTCAACGTTCGGAAAATAAGTAAGTTCTTTACTCTCACTACAAACCCATATGTTCGGAATCACTTCGTAAGTGTCATCATCCAGGAAAAACACCACGCACCACATTTTTTTAACTCACAGGCTGAAAATACACAATCAAAAGAAAATAAAATCCCAGAAAATTTTTGATTTTTTAATAAAACCTTACAGTTAGTGTAATAAAGAGTATGCCACATATTCATTGTTTTTCTTTGGTAAAATCATTACTTTACTTTTTATTTCATTGATATTACATATTTTTAAATCATATACATTACTGATCGTTATACAACAAATGCCTACTAACTCAGATTCACATGGTGAATTAAATAATAGACCAACTTTTTGCAAATATTGAACAACTGCATAATTTAAATTGTCAACAGTTACAAAGTTGTGAATTTTTATTATTTTATTATCATTCAATATAGCATAGCAATCAGTTGAGTTCAATTTGAATGTGTAACCCTTGAACTTCAAAATCATGTATTGACGTGAACAACAATTGTTTAGTAAAGGACCTTTGGAATGTTCTTGCAAAAATGTTGGTTGGTTTAAATCATAGTTATTTTTAAGCATTTTGCAGGAAATTTGTTCAGACATTCTATTAACTACTTGCTGTAGGGGCTTATCATGTTTCCGTACCATTTTTTTAACCAACCGCATGTGATTTTCAAAGTCAAATGCTGAAAAATTGTGGACTGCACCAAATCGTACAACATCTTGTACTAAATGCAGAAGGTTATGTACATTGAAAGAAATGAAATCTGGCCCATAAATTCTTTCACTATCCTTCACAAAACCATTAAGAAGGTTTTGAGCATAATCTAAAAGATATTTATTTTGGCAATATTCATCATTATTTAATATACGCATTGCAACATGGAAGTGCAAAAAATGACAATAGTGATCCTGCTTAATATATTTTTTAAACATTATGGGTCCAGAGTAAAGTAGTAAGAGTCTAAATTCAACTGCTTTAAATCGCGCACAATAATGTAATGATCGACATTTCCTATTGGAAAATTCACACACTATAAATTTTTTACAGTAAATAAGATTATTTGATATTTCATTTTGTTGCTGTAAAGAAAGTTTGTGTAAATAATTTCCTGAAATCCACCCAAAACGTTTGTGTGTTAACAATCTCTTCATTATACCCAAACAGACTAAATGCATATAGTCCAAAGGTACATCTTTAATTATATCAAACTTGGGCAATTCCGTTAATAATGTAGTTCCTTGATGATGATTGTTGTCATATTGCTCTCTAAATTCAGCATCAGTTCGTAATGTTGCCTGCTCCATCCATGGAAAGCACATGACATTATTAATCCTTTTACCTCCTTGGTAACACTTAGTGCAGCCATTTTCTGCTGTGTGCCCTTTCACATTTAAAACAAAAGACTTGGCGGGTGCATCACACACAAGCATTTTAACTCTAAAGTTATAAGAATTGTTTCCAAGAAAAATACCATTAGTTATTAAGTTCGTGGAGTCCTCAATAAAATCCCTTAAAAATTCATTTGCTGAATCTGGTTTCGAATTCCCGTGGAATACACCGACCATGATAACATAATTTTTAAGATATTTGATAGAATCAATTTTTATCAAAATCGGCCAAAGTGCACTATTTGAGCTAGTTGTTAAAGGTAAACCGTCAACATTGACAATTATTTCAAAAACAGAGCCGACTGGCACTACATAGTTCACTTGATTTAAAAAGTTATTTATTGAATTTGAAATACCAAAATAATAAAAATGTCCACCACCTAATGTTCTCACAATAGTCTTCCTAGGTGTGCTCAACAAAGTTCGTGGGTCTTTTGGAAGGTTCCCAAAAGCATTTAAATTCTTTTCACTCCTAAGAATTTCCAAAAGTTTTTTTAATTTATTGTGAGCTATATTTTCTTCAACAGCCCAAAGGCTCAATTTATCCATTAAGTTTAAAGTTTCATTTGTTGACGTCTCAAATGGATCGTCATTGAAATTAAAACTTTCCACAAATTCTAAAAAATGAATACCATACAACTAGTTTACAATCAAATGGAAAATAAAACTTACCTTGATCGTCACTACTAGATTCGGAATTATCTACTTCGTACGATCCACCGTCTTCATCAAGCTCGTCATTTATAAGATTATGATCATTCCAATTTGATTGGCAGATAGCCCCACGTACAACTAACGAAGCAGTTGAAGTAGATGGATGATGAAGATTGGAAACCGACTGATTTACTTTTACCATTTCAGCTTTAACTTGCTTTTCTAAATTTCGATTTATATGCCTTTTGGATTGCTTATTTTTTGGCATGATACTACGATATGATTGTAAAAATAAATAATTCAATATAATGTTATTTTCATTTAAAAGTAGGTAAAACAAGTAGGTAGGTATTCGTTTTTGTTGATACTACACAATCTTGTAACGTGTAGCAATTTTAAATTAAAGTTTGGTTAGATTTCCAAGCGAAGCAAATTCAATGAAAAGTAAATGTGACATACTCTTACTTGAAATTACAAAGTAACGGGAGTAGACAATGTATACTTACAAAATACACACGTAGGTACAGAATATGTTATTCGGTTAAAAGGAATAAATGGATACACAAACAAAATCACGTAAAGGTTATTGCACTAACAGTAACAGCGCCTACGTATAATTAATAAAATAATTACGCGTCGGCGTTACACGCATGCGCATATGAATGAAATTTTTAAAAGTTATGGATAAAATATTGTACTAAGATTTAGAACACAATATTTAGAACATATTGTAACCAAAATATTTAACAACATTCTAGTAACATTTTTATATATTCTGACAAGGTTTATTCACCCATGTTGTTGCAATATTTGCGTTACAACATATAAGAAATGTTTATAGGAAATTTAATTTACAAATATTTGACCAAAAATGGCCTGACAACATTTTGAAAATATAGTGTGTTATGTGGGAAGGAAACATAACGAAAGAATGAAATACATCCTTCGGTTACATTAAAGAAGAAACAGCCTTCGGTAACACAAAAAAAAAGAACAGAGCAGTCTAAGAAAAGAAATTGCGTCGCATCTGCCGTTATAGTATCTAAGTGTTCAAATAAGTCCCCGCCAGTAGGAATCGTGTAATGCAATCGGTTTTCAAATTCTGCAGTCACAGACATGAGTTGGGTATGAGTGATACCCGCAGAACATTCACGGATGGCATCTTCCAAAGCAGCAGTGTTCGGAAACGGTCCACATGCATAAATGGAATCCAGGTGACCCCAGTAGAAGAAATCGAGAGGGTTCATGCATGTTGAGCGTCAAAATTGTGACAGGAATTATCCGATGAGTAATGACAAGCAGTGACGAATCCTAGTACCATCGCTAACTCGTTGACCAATTGTTGTAATTGTAGATGTAATAGGTGAATTAAGTAAAACGAAGTGCCCACATAAACGTGTAGGGGAGAGTGGTTGAAGATGACGCACCTAACAGGAATCGCTTACTGTTTTTTTATTTATTGCACGAACAATGCCAAATCCGTTAAATAACTATATGGCAGTGTTGGTAATTATTATATACCCACATTATTTTTTTTAGTCTCATAAAAACCTGGTAGGCATAACATTCTGAAAAAATTGCATTGCGTCGTCTTTTCCTTGGGGTTTGGGTAAGTTGACGCACTTATTAAAATGCACTATGGTGATAAAGGCTAACAAATTGACTCAAATAAAAATATATTATATAAAATTAAAATAAAACAAAACAACTAAAACCTTCATTTTACAAAGTAAAAGCTAAATTCAAGTAATAATGCCATTAAACACAGTAAAAACAAAACACTCAATTTTGGCATAAGTCACATACAAAACCTTTAGGAGAGTCAACACCGCTGCACTCACTGTGTGCCCAATAACCGCAAATAGTGCACCTATACCACATTTCATTTTTTGTTCCAGTGTCTCCACAAATAATACATTGGTCGTATTCAGAAGCATTGCTAATATCGTCCAGTTCATCGTCGTCACATATTTCTTTTTCGTCGACACTTATTTCACTGTCAGAGTCAGATTCCTTGTAAACTTTTCTCACAACTTTGCCTTTCTTCTTTGTTTTCACGGTTGCATTTATTTTCCCTGCTACTGCCATGGCTTTTCGGTTTCGTTTATTTTCTTTTTCCTCCAAATTCTGTTTGAAAGGGGTGCTAGTTAAGACTTCTGAATGCTGCTTTTTACGTACATTCTTCTCAATTTTCTTGGCCTGTGCTTTGGGTACAGGTAAAAGTGTTGAAATTGGAATTTGTTCCGGTATAAAATAAAGCTCTGTTGCTGACGGTACTGGTTGTTTGCTTGTTGATGGTAGCAAAGGCACTGATTGTGTGCTTGTAGATGGTTGTGGAGATAGTTCTTGAGGTAGATGTTTAGATGATGGTGATTGATGCAATTGAATTTCCTTTAAAGGTTGTTCACTCATAAAGCTATCGGCTGGTGCAAAATCTTCTTCTGAAAATTTTTCAGAATTAAGTGGATATATTCCAGCGGCGGCAAAACCTGAAACTCCTTTTTCCACATTTGCCACTTGCTCATATGCCACTTTAAAAATTTCGGCTACATCATAAGGAGTTAATGTGTTTCCTTCTTGTGGGTTAGAAATTTTTCTCTTCAAAAATAGGTTACATTGTCTGCTGTATGCGTTTTTAAGTGGTCCAAAGAAAGTAAGGTCGAGGGGTTGCAACTTATGTGATGTATGGGGCGGAATGCTAACCATAATTATTCCATGACTCTTACAGAATTCATAAATGGGCAATGAAATGTGGCTGGAATGATTATCCAATACAAAATACAAGCAATACTGGATTATCAACAGTAGAAGATACCTTTGCTTGAAAATGTTTCAGCCACATTACAAAAACTTGTTCGTTGCTCCATCCATTTTTTGTGCACGTATAAATAGAACCAGAAGGTCCATTTTTTTGGAGATGAGGACTCATCCTCAGTCGAGGAAAAATAAATAAGGGGGGCACAAAGTTTCCTGTGGCACTGACAGCGCAGATCACGGTAATGTTTTTCCCACGTTCCCAGGAACAAATAGTACCAAACTGTTTCACACCAGTTGGTGCCAGCCTTTTACCGACTTCTTTTGGTGTTGTAGACACCCCTGTTTCGTCTACATTATATATCCGATCCGGGCCAAATTTGTTTTTTGTTAATACTTGTTCTAGATTATCAAAAAATCTATCAACCTCCAGTTTGTTAAAGGCAGACACCCTACTTACACTGGTCCCTTCCGGTTTTCTCAGAGAAATAACAGAATTCCTCTTAAGAAAACTTCTAAACCAGTCTGGCCCTGCCATCGCTGTTTCCTTATTAAAACGATGCTTGATATGATTTATTTCGGCATATTTGTAAGCCACCTGTCGTAACTCAGTGGGCGTTATTCCAAAGAATAACCTTGCGAGAGATTTTACTTGTTCGGCAATTTCCCGTTCTTGTTCTTTAGAGAAAATTGGAGCGCGCCCTAGTGTCTCAGATTTCCTGTCCTTAATTTTTCTTTTAATTCCCAAATGACGTCGCAAAGTTGCCTCATGTATTCCAAAATCTCGAGCAACTGCCCGGATTTTACGACCTTTCTCTATAGCATCAAGCGCAGAGTCAAGGGAAGCTTGGCTGAAGTTCCTCCTTTCCGTTTTTCTCTGGTACTTTCCCATCTAGGACGAAAGCAATTGTTGTAAGTTCGGTAAAAAGAATTGCTGGCAAAGATAACGCAACGGTCCACTGTGCGTCATCTTTACCAATATGAAACGCGTCATCTTTGCCAATGCGTAGCCATGACAAAAAAAATTATTTAGCAAATTCTTCTAATGTTTATGAGTGCCGCAACTACTTAAATTAACAAACATAACATGCAATTCAAGTACATAGGGTGAATCGCCCAGTTCTCGGCCACTTAACTGAATTTTCACCTTAAACCGACGTTTAAAAATTGCAGAATGATTGAAATCCAATTTTGATTATTTTATTGGATAGCACGTAGTTTACTTAATTAAATTTAATCATTCAAAAATGTCAAATCTATTTAAGTTTTTTTTTGTTAATAAAATCCTAAAAAATGTCCTTATTGCCAGTTCTCGGTCACTTGATTATTTTCTCGGCCAAGACTATGCCAGTTCTCGGCATGGGTGGCCGATAAATCCCATTTTTCGGCCGTGTTGTTTAAGCATTAAAATAAAAGGAGAAATGAATGGAAAATGGGTGCCTAGGTACAGATAATCAAAAAAATTAATTTTATTGCAGTCAGTAGTAGATTCTAATCAAAATATTTAAGTAGATAAATAAAACAAAAATATTCCAAGTTGCCTATTTTAATATAAGTAACTAATAAAAAAACCTTAAAAATAAACATAAATAGATATCCTTAAAAAGAGGAGTAAATAATTTGTACTCATTAAAACTTATTTGCAGGAACTACACAAGAAATCTCTAGTTGAAGCTTCATTGTATGATAAATTAGATAACTCAGTACAAGCTAAATGAAACCACTTAGGGCATGCTACGGGGGTTCCTTCTGGACTTGAAAATTACCATCGGTTCCGCCCGGCAAGGCAAACCGTCTTCTTCTTAGGCTGGTTAATCGATAAAAATAAATGCTCCGGCTAACTCAAATCGGTGGGCTTTTAACTCTTTTGAAACTGCGTAACAAACCTTAACCTGCCGCCTACCAGTCTCCTGCCTCAACTCCTACTCCTCCCTTTCCTTCCTCTCGTTCTTCTTTAAAGACAGGCACATTGAAACCAAATAGATAATATATTGAAATGAGATTAGCGATACAATCAATTTACAGGGATCTAGCAGTTCTTCTCTTCTCCTTGTAAAAACACTAGCTTAACAATGACAACTACTAACTAAAAAATCCTAACAGGTGAAACTAATTTACTCAAGGGGTGGCCATCCTCTACAGTTTGAAAATTGCAACAACAGGTAATCAGTTTTTTAATCCAGCGTGGGCTGGGACTTATTTAAATAAACACAAAAATTTATCCTACTCTTTGGTAATCGTTCATTGGACTTTAATAAACAATCAAATCAAAAATTTTTTTACTATAGCTTAATTACCAAAAAGTGGAATTTTACAGAATGTTACAAATTTAATTAGACTAACCTTTACAACATTTGTACAGCCGATCTTGTGAACTGCTCTTTCCTCTGGTACAGGGTGGATGTGATGAAACCTGACACTTAGGTCTCTGTGACTTCCTAGGGGGTGGCTTGAATTTAACACACGGAAACAAAAATCCACGGTGCCTATCCTTCCTCGGAACGAAAGCAAAGTTTAGTGTTTGAACGGAAACTTAGTCCAGGAAATCCTTCGCGTGGCGAGTGGGAGACGGCTAGTTGCCAAAGTTTCTACACAGCACAGTGTATTTAATTTTATTTTATTAGTTTATTAGCTTTGACCGCCTGCGGAATACAGATTTTTGAGTTAGCGGTACGGCAGAACACAAACTTTTATGATCACTATCCGACGGGAAACTGTGATGGTTCAAAGTATTATTTCACCAGCTCTTCTTGGGGCAAATATCTCTCCGAAACGCAGCGCTCCTTCGACAAATGACCTTACGGCACTATTAGGAAATTCCACCTGGGGCGGATCCCGA